GTGTGTGTGTGTGTGTGTGTGTGTGTGAGAGAGAGAGAGAGAGAGAGAGAGAAAGAGAGAGAGAGAGAGAGAGAGATTTATATATGTTGAAAAGGCAAGTATAAATAGGGAGAATAATTGCCATGAAGTATATGTATATAATTATCATTCAGAAGTATTTCTTAATGTATCATTTTTAGTACATTAAGAATTAAGTTATTTTTTAGTTTTTAAATAAAGTTGGCAAAATGCCTCTGAATTCACTTTATAAATTAAGTAAAATAGATCTTTACAAAAAAACAAACATGCAAACAAAAAACTTCCTCAAATATTAAGAGAAGAATCCTGTTTGGAGAATAGGGAAATAAAGTAACAATAGTCAAGATTAAAAGCAAGGATCTCCCCCTCTCCCTCTCTTTAAAATTAATAAAAACATATTTAAGAAGATACAAAAATAAATCAATAAAAGCAAGGACCTTGGAAATACTAGCAAATATCCAAGTGAGAATAAATATAAAACTAGATGAGCAGTAGGATATTAGTTAAAGCTCAATTCAATGAATTCAATATGGTTGACAGGAGGAAGTATCCAACTAGGAAATAATTTTGGACTTAGTATTTCTAATGAGGGGGTTGTTTCTTGGAGCTGATTTCTAGGCATTACAAGGATTTTTTCATTAAAAACAACTTTAATTTTACTTTGTCATCCTGAGATGCTAATTTGGAGACTTATTAAAATCTGCAATATATTTTTACTTATACAAACTCTTTATAAATTGATTGGCAAATTCATATTAAACTGCAGTAGTATTTTGTTAATTATTAATATTACAGGATTCCCCTATGTTACTTATTAAAAGTAGTATACATTATTTATGGCTACTTTCTCAAGAAAATTTATCATATTCTGTGCCCTTATTGGGATCAAACCCACAACCCTTTGTTGCATGGAACAATGCTCTAACCCAGTGATCGGCAAACTCATTAGTCAACAGAGCCAAATATCAACAGTACAACGATTGAAATTTCAACGAGAGCAAATTTTTTAAACTTAAACTTCTTCTAATGCCACTTCTTCAAAATAGACTCGCCCAGGCCATCGGAAATCACAGATATTTACATTACGATCCATAACAGTAGCAAATTTATAGTTATGAAATAGCAACGAAAACAATTTTATGGTTGGGGTCACCACAACATGAGGAACTGTATTAAAGGGTCAGGGCATTAGAAAGGTTGAGAACCACTGCCCTAGGAACTGTATCGGTACAGAGGTACAGATATTGCTATGAGATATGTCGGATATTTTGGTTCCTATGGATTCTTCTAGTCAATTTCTTAATGAAAATTTATTTGTTTGAAATTATTGCTAAGATATGTTTTCATTGGGAATAAAGTGAAGACTAAGCATTTTACTTTTTAAGCAGCATATTCAACTTACAACCTTATTTTTTACAGTTGCATCCTAGTTTAATGAATGCAAACTTCTGACTGCTATAAACAGGCCAGAGAAAACTGGGGTTAGGAAACCTAGCAATGTGGAAATACAGACTTGGTCAGCCTCCTTAGGCTTAGGCTTATCATTCCAAACACAGGTGGATTATATAGACACAGGTCAGCACGCATTGGCTATATGAAGCTGTTTTAAAGCTTGTGGGTAAAGGATTCACTGTTGTGTATGTTTTTCAATATTGAAGGTGTTACCCAAGGGGTTATTTTTACAAGGTTTCTCTCTTCTGTAGAAAATGTATGCTGCTGAATTAGAAAAGAATTGTCTGAGCATTACTTTGCTTATGGATGAAGCAAAACAAGATATATAGGCTGCTGAAAACTCTTTATTCTTTCCAATTAATTGTGTGTGTGCGTGTGTGTGTGTGTATGTGTGTGTGTGTGTGTGTGTGTGAGAGAGAGAGAGAGAGAGAGCGAGAGAGAGATGAGGAAAAGAATATGAAGATAGTTTTTTTCATTCAAAACTTATGTTTATCCTTCGTTAAATTCCCGGTATGTTTCTTCTGTTAAAATCTGCATGACTACTGATTTTCTTGGTTTTACAATAAGAACAAATTTTAAATTTGATTTTCAATAAAGAAAAATATATATTTATATACTGAAAAAAAAGTAGATGACTAAATTTGACAATGCCACCTTTTAAAATTATTGCCATGATTTTCCACCTTCATGCAGTAGATTTTTACACAAAGATAATCTTCATGTCAGTTTTTCTGGTATAATCTCAATGTGTTTAAAAACTATCTTTAAAATTCTCAAAATAGTAGTAGTATGTTATGTTTTGTGCTATTAAAATAGCTTTTGTGCCGAAACCAGTTTGGTTCCGGTCCCAGGTTCGATTCTGGTCAAGGGCATGTACCTTGGTTGCGGGCACATCCCGGTGGGGGTGTGTAAGAGGCAGCTGGTCGATATGTTTCTCTCTCGATGTTTCTAGCACTCTATCCCTCTTCCTTCCTCTCTTTGGAAAATAAATAAAATATATATTTTTAAAAAATAGCTTTTGTCAGTTACAATAAGTAGAATATTTCCATTAACATTTCATAGTCAGGAATTAGACTGCATTTCACTGAATTTTAAGATCATGGACTTAGTGTGATTTTTCTCATAATGTCACATGCATTTCCTGATGCCAGCCCCCTTCTTGTTTTATCTGTGTGGCACACCGGGGACATCTTTGCCTCTAATCTCTCACCTGTATGACTTTTTTGTTGAAGCCTCCCATTCCTACCATTTTTGGCTACGCTGCAGCTTCCTGGTATATTGAAATGGGGATGAAAATACTGCCAAACTGCTATTGGTGAGAGTTGGAAACAAAATAATACTTTTCAAGCACCAGCACCAGGGCAAGCGCTTGATAAATGATAGCAATTATCATGGTCATATCACCCTAAACAGCTTATCACAGTCTCTTCCTGAGTAATTCCCAGACTCTGTTATCTTCCACTCTCATCTGGTTGAATAATCTACTGGCTAATGCTTTTAAAAATTAATGTTATAAATATTTTATTATGATAGGTTACAGCGTCACCTTTCACTGTCCCCTATAATTGAGACTATATTCTTAATTTGATTTTGACGTTTCTCTCAATCTTGACTACTGTTTAGTTCTGTCTCCAATCTGCTCTTGATTCTCTATTGAACAGATTTATACATGTTTTCCAGCTGTATTGAGATTTAATTATTTTGTATACATGTAAGGTGTTCATCATGTTGATTTGAAACACATATTGTGAAATGATAACCACAGAAGCTTTAGTTAATGCCTTCATCATTTCTCGCCTTTTTTTTTTTTTTTTTTTTTTTTGCTGAGAACATTTAAGATTGCTCTTAGCTACTTTCAACTATATAATACTATATTCTTTTAAAATATATACCTTTTTTATTGATTTCAGAGAGAGGAAGGGAAAGGAAAAACCATCAATTATGAGAGAGAGAATGATTGATCTTCTGCCTCCTGCCCGCCAATTGGGGATTGAGCCTGCAACCAGGAGTGTGCCTTGACCAGGAATTGAACCTTGACCTTCTGGTTCATGCACCTTTGTTCAACCACCGAGCCACATCTGAAGGCCTGAGAACCAGGGGAGCCAAGGGTTTAAGACCCAGTCTGAGGTCAAAGGCCTAAGAAACGGGAGGACCAATGCCTGAAGGCAGGAGAAGATGGGTATTCCAGAGGAAGCAGAGAGAAGATTTATACTTTTTTGTCTTATTTGATCCCTGAACAGTTTGGATGATTCCCACCCAAATTTACTAGTCTCCTAAAACAAATGCTAAACATTTCAGAGATTCCCCACACACATAGCTGGAAATAATAAACTATCAGCTATGGGATGACTCTTAGTCCCATCAAGTTGACAAACCATCACACATAAGTTTTTATTAATTTCTTAATTTTATGTGATGACTCTAAAGAACCTTCTGACAATTTTGGAACACCATTCTGTTCCTAGGCCTGAGATAATGCCCAATGTGGAGCAAGAATGCACACAATGTTCATGTTCCCAACAGCCATATTGTAGGTGATTAGTATGCAATAAATTGGCATATCTTTTCTATTTCTTTTGAATCGTGTAATTGTTTTTACTGAATTCTTCTTTATCTTGAAATTATAATTATTATTCTTAAGAACATTTTGAACAACAAGTTTGGAGTTTTTGACATTTAGAAAAAATATGGGGATAATTGTGATATGTGAAATTTGAAACAAGTTTAGAAATTGTATTCCTCATGAGTGTAATTGAAATACAGTGTAGAGTATAATTTTATTAAATGTTGAGAAGTTATATATAACAAGTAGGTATGAATTCATTTATTCAGGCACTTGCAACATTTTTTAAGCAAAATTGTCCTTGTGTGTGCACAATTTCACTTGAAGGCCACCACTGTGTGTGTATCCTGAAAAAGAATAATTAATGTTACTCTCGTGCTGAAGTTCCATAAGTCAAAAGGATAGCTGAGTAGTAATTATTCCTATGCCATTCGATTCAATAGAACTTTTAAATCCTCTGTACTTTCAGAAATTCTAAATTTCTTGTTTATTTTTTAATATATTTTTATTGATTTCAGAGAGGAAGGGAGAGGGAGAGGAGAGAGAGAGAGAGAGAGATAGAAACATCCATGATGCCAATCATTGATCTATCGCCTCCTGCCCAGACCCGGGACCCTTTATTCCGCAGGCCGATGCTCTATCCACAGAACCAAACCAGCTAGGGCCAAATTGGGTATTTCTATATAGTCTTTACTTCATGTACCAGCCAAAGTTTTAGAAAATCCAGAGTGCTGTTTTATAAAAGAAATTTTTAAAGGATCCTAAGTAAAAAAATACTATTGTTAGAATAAAATATATCTGTGAAGTTACTAAAGTTGGAGATATTCTATTTAAATTAAAATTATGAATTGCAACTCTTTCATTCCTTGATATAAGTTTACTCCCCAAACACCGGAAAAGCAAACACATACATTTTTCCCCCGTATGTGATGAAGAGCACTTAACCTTTTTCTCCTCCTTCCCGTAGCTTTCAGCCGCGCCCCAATCCCGATGGCTGTGGTCCGCAGAGAGCTGTCCTGTGAGAGCTACCCCATAGAGCTCCGCTGTCCAGGGACAGATGTCATCATGATTGAAAGTGCCAACTATGGGAGGACTGATGACAAAATCTGTGACTCTGACCCTGCTCAGATGGAGAATATACGATGCTATCTGCCAGATGCCTATAAGATTATGTCTCAAAGGTAGGATACTTCTAATATTCTTTTCTTTATGCGTTTAATACAAACTCTTAACATGCACCTGTGTGACATATTCAGCACAAGTAAGGACATAAAATTATTGTGTTATTTTAGGATAATTTGAGATACTATTTCAATATCAAACTATCTCCCATATCACTGAAATAATAATAATAGGGCTGTAAGTCACATTTGGAAATTATTAAAAAATTTTAGGTTATTTATTATGTCTCATTGTCTACTGTGTATTCTCTAGAACTGGTTCATTAGATGAGAAACTAAATTTATTTTTTACAGTTACCCAAAAATTCAGAAATTACAGAAAAATTACCTTAATGCCAATGATATTTCCTGTCATTGTAGAGAGATGAGAATAATTAACAGGCAATTTTTATAGACATTAATCAAAATGCAGTAAAACAAAAGAATATTGATTAAAGGTTATTTGTCCTTGGAAATAATAAAAAAGGTATTCTCTTAATAATTAGTATACAGGTTAATTCATTTAATACATTTAAGCTTTCTAAATGTTACCATATTAAGATAATATAAATGAAGGTACCATGTAACATCACTGGATAATGAAAAGATGATCTTCAACTGGAAATGGATTGGTCAATAGAGATCCTTACTATAGAAGGCTTAAATTATATTAATTTCTTGATAAATGAGCTAAGTATTAAGTATATTTTAAATATTTGTTTACTATTAATGTGATTTCTTAGAAATCAAAGAGGATGCCATTCATTTAGTATAAGCCTTCACGCTATTTGAGGACTTGGTCACAAAGTGCTTTCTAAATAATCAATCAGTTATTTTTATTTAGTGAATTTGTGTTTTTTTTATTATGATTTCCATTTTTGGGCATTTCTTCTGTAACTTAAGGATTTCTTAATATATGGGGAAAATCATGGCATATGTAAAAATAACCATATTGGAATATCAAAGCAAAAAACAATAGGTTTCATGAGTTGCTTTATTGTGCTTAAGAAAGCCTATCTTATTTAACCTTTTGTCTTCTTGATATACTTAAAAATGTATATATGTTTATATGTTATTAATAAACTAGTAGAGTCAATATCTTATATTTATAAATTTCTAATGTATCAATTAATAAAGGGAATTATCACATGCCAGAATTTTGATAATCAAATTATGTGAGATATACTTGAAAAATAGTAGTGAGTGTTTATAAGAAATAAGATTTTAAAAATGGGGATACTATTTGATATTAGTTTGGTTGGATTTGGTTCTTCTTCTTATACATTCTCTCTTGTTATATATTTGACAGATACCAACTATGGTTAAATTCTCTAATGTTATGCCTAAAAAAAGTCTAGTTATTTCATCGAGTACAGATGTTATGTTGTTGTGGTCTTTCAGGAACAGTTTTCCATGGGTAGTAAGAAATGGGTACTGTATTTGTTCTGTCAGACTACTAAATTTTAGAATCCATTTGGGATGTGGGTTCATGAGATTGTACTTTTCTGTGATTAGGTTTTCATGCAAAATGTAGCAGAAGCATTAACTTCATAACTCTTTGATCTCTCTATGATTTTCATTGAAATTGGCTTAATCCTTTCATTGATACTATTAATGGCTCCCCAAATAAGCCCTTAATCTTAATAATTACCACACAAAAATCCTCAGGAATTACTGAATTTGATGGGATGCATCTATAAAGTGATAAACCTGCAGAGTAAAATTGTTTTAAGCCCCTTCAGTAAATCATTAGTGGAAGCCCTCCTGGTGATTTCTCAAGTATGAATTGTCACTTGGCCAAAATAACTGTGGTTAATTCTCCATGGAGGCAAGTTCTAAACTTGTATTTGGACAATTAAATATACTATGCTTACCCTTGTCCAAAATCAATGCTTTTGACTCTTGGAGAGAGAAAATCTGGCTCCATCTTGTAAGCTCCCAAGAGATAGAATCACCATGTCTACTGAAGCTGCTTTATAATGAACTTCCACAGTCATGCTAATGGCAGAATGCTAAATAATGCTAATTATTACTAATTTGTTATGGGCAGTTTAATGCAATTGAACTAATCATAATGGAAAACATATTTTCTAAAAGATATTAATTATTGTTTTCTTTCATTTAAACTACTAGAAATAAACTGTATCAGATTGTAAACATTTTCTAAGTATGTCTCTAGGTAAGAGGATTATTAAGAAGAGATTATTTGTGTATCCTTGCATAACCTTGTTAAAATGGCTTCATAACTCCTTTCAACTTCATAAATTAGACAGATGTGGCATGCAAGGACAGACACGAAACATTGTTACCCCATGCAGATGTTTATATACACACTGGACAAATGCATAAATACAACTGTATACAAACATGTTAGTAAATGTGAAAAATCGAGGACTTGAATTGGAAAGTATGTGACAATTTACTTGCACATTCTTCCCCAGTAGAAAAATGTAATCTGATATCTGCTCCAGAAAAGCCAGTTTTCTCCCTGCCTTTCAGAATGCACCTCTGGTTCTCAAATCCAAGCGTGTTCTCCTGCCGTTCTGTCCACACCTCCTGCAAATTTCCTGTGCTGTGCCTTTTCACCATTATTCTACTACAAGACTTGTTAAGCTGTCAGAACACATTTATTTATCCTTCACAGAACTTCTGATCTCACTGCACCCATCTTTATCACACTTAAACATTTATAAATCTATTTTGTCACAGTGTGGATGGTAGCCTTGTCTAAAGTAAAGTGTAGGCTTCTAGGGGCCACACTTCCTGTTCATCTTACCGAAAACAAACTTTTGAAGTGTAAACGAGTGCAAAGAAATGCTCTCCGATTTTGTCATGTTACTTAAATGCTTTCTTTCCTTTTTAAATGTTTTTATTGATTTTGGAGAGAGAGGAAGGGACAGGGGAAAGAGAGAAACAGTGATGAGAGTGAAACATCAATCATCTGCCTCTCGCACACCCCACTGGGGATCAAGCAAACAACCTGGGCATGTGCCTTGACCTGAAATCCATGTGGTAATTTCTTGCTTCATGGGTCAACACTCAAGGACTAAGCAACACTGACGGGGCTTAAAAGCTTTCTTAACTTAACTGATTTTTATTTTATGTCAACACACAAAATGTTAACAAATAGTATATGTAACTTTAGAATCTAAATCTGAAAATGACTGTTGATAATGGTAACTGCAGAAATTTTGCATTTTCAACTCAGTTTAGGTTATATGTTATCTCAGGTATTAGTGGAAATAGTTCCATTTTTGACACCAACAACAATTGGAAGTCCCTGATATGCAGTTCACCATGACAGTTACTCTAGAGTTCTCTGAATAAGTAAGTCAGACATGGTTCCTGCCTTGAAAACTATAGTTTTTTTTCGCTGATAAAAAAACCAACTCTGTCACTTGCTTCATATTTTATTTTTATCTCATTTACATTTATTGAAGAGTTAAAAAAATAAAAAGCAGGAACATTCTTTCAGCTAGATATTTGTGGAGATAGAGATGTTTGTGGAAAGGAAGTGTTAAGCTGGTCCTTAAAGGATGACAGCATTAGTGGAACCAGAAGAGACCAAAGTGATAGTAGATACATAAGTGGATTAACACAAAAATAGGATACAAGGGAACAGCCCCTTCAGTTATCCTTTTCTATCATGGCTTCACAAGCTTATTGGTTTCCGCCTAATCTGTATAATCTCTCTATGGAGTCTTCCAAATGTGCCACAGCTCCAGGCCAACCTCCACCCTATCTATACCCCCAAATCCTCCCCAAGAAATCTTACTAATTCAATGATAAACTAGCTTGATGCCATCATTCCTTTTTTAAATTCCATCTTATAAATTGGATAAAGATATGAAATGTATGAATATCATCTATGATGCCATTCTTAAACCATCTTTTGATGACTAATATTTTAAATATGTTATATAACAATTTTACATAGAATGGGAGATAGCTTTCAGATTTAGAAGGCATTGTAAATGCATATGCAAATATTTTTATGCAGTTCAGGAAAATTTTGCATTTGTGCATAATGTAAATGTACAACTCATTGTCTTCTCACCAAGACCAGCCAACTAACAACCAGATGAAGATGCCCCGCCTTGTGGCCTGATGTATTCCCCAAGAATGGTTCCTATTCTGATTTTTAACACCAAATTAGTTTGCCCCTTTTGTAATTTAGATAAATGGATTACATCTGCTTTTGTATTTCAGGCATTTCTCATTCAAAGCATTCACTTTTTTACATAACTTCATTGAATCGCTTTTATATACCACATCATTCACCCATTGCAAGTGGATAATGATAAATATAGTAAATTTACCAAATGTTACAGTCATCACCATAAATCAGTTTTACAGTATTTCCATCACCACTGTAACTACTGCATGTACTTTTAAACTCCATCTCCTTTCCCACCCCATGCAATGATTACTTTGTCTTCTGTCTATATGTCTATCCTCAACACTTTATTTTTTTAGTCTAAAAAATGAGTATTTGAAGTTAAATTTAGTGGACTTTTCAAGAGGAACAATATCAAAGAAATATTAGTATTTAATTCTGGATATATGAAGGTAAATACAGGATGGGCAAAAGCAGGTTTATAGTTGTTCATATGGAAAGCGATACAATAACAAATAATAATACAAGAATAAACTTTTTTTTTTTTTGCAGGATCACAACTGTAAACCTACTCTTATCCCACTCTGTATGTTGCCTGCATTTCAAATTGTCTTAGAACCTAAAATCATAATATTAGACATTTAAAAAATACCATCTTTAAAATTTTCTTTCAAATATTGTACATATGTTAAATGTAGAAAATTAGCAATACTACATTTATCTTCTTTTAGCAATACTACATTTGCACATGCCATAGACACATTAGGAACATTCAAAAAAGAAAAGAGAGAGAATCATTTCTCACATTTATGAAAAAGCTATATTACAGTAATACAGTATCACTGCAGGGGATTTTACAGTTTATAAAGACCTTGGTTTCTGTTGGATTCATTCCTGGTGAAGT